AGTTTTATTTCTAACTTAAATGTCTATCATTACTTATTTGTTTTTGATCACGAGCATAGTGTTTTCTGGGCTGTGGGGGGTGTCCTTTATTTTGTCCTCCATACTTTTCTCCATATGCTTTACTGAAATGTCTGTTTTCCTAAATATATGTCTCAAAATTCTGTTATTCTCCAAACTCCAACTCTCTGGTTATTTTCTCCAGTTATTTCCCAAACCTCTTCTTTGTATAGCAGTTGGTCTTTTCTCATTGTTCTTACCATACCTTGCCTTCCATCATTCTGTTAGAGGATGGATTTTTCATTGGGAATGGCACTACATTTCTAGAGAAAAGGGAAAGTGCATAATTTAACCTCAATACCACCACAGAGGCTTGACTCATGCTTTACAGAGAGTAGGGTTTCAACAACTAGTTAGGAAATTTGATTTGGACCAAAAAAAAGTGGAAATAACTTTTTCAAGTGTTTCTGAGAGTTGCTAACAGAATAGTTAAAATAAAAGATTTTTTTTTCAGTTGCTGTGAACTATAAATAATTGTTCACATATGACAAWTTTTATTTGGAAGTTTATGACCACTATAAACTTTCAATGAATAGATGAAAACATGATCTAAGGCAAGCCAAGTTTCTAGCTCTGTCTTCCATATACCAAAGACCTTTAGGCACTTCATGTGGACTATGTATGCTGAAATATACTCTCTGTTCAGCATCATCAATATCCATCTCATGATGAACTATGCCATATTCTGAATAGAAACTCAGAATCCTCAACAATGAAATCAGTGAAGGAAAATTTTAAAAAATTGTTTGGAATTGTGAGAAACATATACAATATCTGAATTCACACAGAAAAACGAGATAGAAAATTAGTACCTTTGAAAGGAAAAATTAAGATCAAAATATAAAAATCATTGTAAACTTTTCATTATGATCCTTTATTTAAAATATCTATCCTAACCACATGTGTGTGCCATATAAAACCTCAATAAATGCAAAAAACCCCATTAAATTGCACATTTTTATACTACAAATATTGGTTAACACTGTTTTTCTGTGAGCTGAACCCAAATGAATGAACTAATGGATGGAGTCAAGGAGAAAAGCAAGTGTTGGGAGACAGTGAATCAGAGTACAATTAGATCAAGTAGAACAGCTTGAGAATGGCCAATATTCAATTTTTTTTTCAAATAATTGGTACAATAATTTGCCAGCCTAGGTCATTACACAGTAGTGACTTTAATATGCATGACTTGATGGACAAAAACAATTTTAAGCAAGATTTTAGTTTTTATTACCAAAGTTTTGATAAATAAGATAAAATATAAATGCAAATGATCAATTGACTATAATTATTAATATAAAATTAATAGTTATATACCAAGTGTTTATGAAATATTTAGGAAAACAACGTTTTATAGGAAAGAAATACATCAATAYATGAAGCAAACTTTTCCAATCTAACTTAAATGAACCAAATCTATAACTCAATACTACAATTACAGCTGCAAGTTTCTACTTGAAAAATCAAAATGTATAAATCAGTTGCAAATATATATATATACATATATACATATACATATGTGTGATATATATATACATATACATATGTGATATATATATATACATATACATATGTGTGATATATATATATATATATATATATATCAGTTTGTACTCACACTCAAATATAAATAAATGCCATTTTGCTACTTCTCTCTCACTTGATCCAATATGCTCATCATTCTGTTTCCCTTGATGGCAGGAAAAACATCTCTCTTGAGTAATTAGTTAATACCTATTTATACCTGTGTGCATTATTGTGTAAACACTGGATTATATTAATGTTTCCTGGGCAGATTGTTAACTGGCTAGCGTTAGTACTATCTTACATCAAGGKAGGTATTCCATCTACTTGTCCCACCTGAAAGCATGTCACCCACTAGTCCCACCTGGTTTGGAGTCTTGAGAACCATGTGTCACCTTCTGCTGCTGTGGTCTGTGATACCTGGTATCACCTAGATCTGTGAGGTATAGTCACTTGTGCTCTCCCAGACTTCAAATGCAACTACCAGCCCTCTGTACATTTACTGAAAACCTCAGCACTTTCATACCTCCCCCTGCATCCTGTTCTCTTAGGCCTATGCTAGCTAGAGTGCCCAGGTCAGTGAGAAACAGGTCTCAGGCTCTCCTATATTGGAGCTCCACTTAAGCCACTGATAATCCTCCTGTCTTCTCTACAGCTCTTTTGCTCTGGGGCCATACTGAACTTGAAGCAGCTCATATAGGCTTGCAAACATCACTGCTTTGGTAATCAGGATGATTTCCAGGATCTGACTTGTGATTTCTATCCACCTTCCCCAATGCTCTATAAGTTTCAATCCCTCAGAGTGGAACAGAGAATGGTCTGTACACTACAACCCAACTTTCCCCAACAAATTCTTCCCAAAATCCTCCACCCAGACTAAAAGGAGTGATAGTTGCTCCCTTAATGCTGTAGAAAATTACAAGGTTATATACAGTATTCTGTGTATTATTTTTCTCTGGATAAAAATCTTTACCCTGAATAATTTAACTACTGTTTTTGCTGTGTAAAAGACAGTGCTTTTTGTTCTTTCTTTTACCTTTCAAATTTTGTTCTGTATCTGCTATTTTCCTAAATCACAATGCAGTGAAGTAGAGCATTAATTTTTTTTATTAGAAATTGAAGAAGGTGGTGAACATCAAAGTGAAAAGGTAATTTTGTAAGCTCTCAAAAGTATTTCTTATAAAATATTTGTGGGATTTACMAATTTATTGTTGATTGTTTTTGTTTTCTAGAATTTTTTTCCAAGACATATGTACTCTTATAGTGAAAGATAAAGCTTTTCTTGGAAAAAGATATAGACTTGATTTAAATATTTGACGAAAGAAAACTAGGCTTATATTCATTTGCTAGGTAAAATATGTACATAAAACAAATGGTACCCAACCATGACTCAATAAGAGAGAATCTATTAATTCATGATCTAACAATGCAATTCAACACAGCAATAGATTGAGCATGAAATACTTAGTTCCATCCCACAAACTTTTTGAAAAACAATGGATAATGTAAAGTATTCATTTTCTTTTCAAGCACAGAAACAAATTATATGTAAACTGGGAGTACAGGAATGTTTCCCTGATGTGAAGTCAGAATCAGAGTTATGTGTCCATGGTAAATGGAAGATTTTTTTGTCTTCTTTTATTTTAGTTTGGTTTTAGAAGGTTCTATACCATTATTATTATTTAATATGTCTTAAGTTGTGGCTCGACCTTAGAAAGTTTTGGTTATGATGACAAAATAAAGAAAAGATATGTACAAAATTGATTTTAAAAAGGAACAAAGTGCTTGTAGATGTAATATGATTGTACCCTTCACAAATACAAAGAAATTATCTTTAAAAAGTATATGACTTAATATGAAGGTATATACAAAATATTTTGTTTGAGAAAATGAACCAGTACCAATAATATGGGTATTTATATGATAAAATATTATTGAATTAGGAAAAAAATATAATGGAATTTTTAGTAGTATAAAATTCCTAGAAATTAATTCACTGAAGAATATGTGAACTAGGGAAAGACATTAACAACTTAGGTGGAGGAACCTTATCTGAAATATTCTGAAAATAGAAAAAGATACTGAGTTCTTGGAAAGGAATGTGAAATATTTTTAAAAATTCATTCTTCTCTGAATAAATTCTTTAATGAAGTAATGAATCCTCAATCAAAATTTCAACAATTTTTTTTCAAATAAAATTCTGAAATTGTGAAAAAAATGAAGGACAATATCAATTCTCTTACAAAAGTAAAGCATCAATAAGTAAAAGTGAGTAAAGGAATAATAATCCTTATCACCTCTTACAATTCATTAAGAAACACTTTTCAATAGTGTAGAACTTGTGAAAAAAATAAATATCTAGAAGTAATCCTTTGTATATAGCTGCTATTCATATAAGGGAGAGACATTCAGAATAGGAGAATGTGTGTGTGTGTGTGTGTGTGTGTGTGTGTGTTTGCGCAGAAAAGACAGGAGAGGTTTAAACATGGATATCAGATAAGTACAAGATTAAAGTGACATTTTCAAGTAGTAGAGAAAAACTAGGTTACTTATTAAATGATATTGGAATAAAGGTAAACACAGAAACTGTTCTGTTTTGTTTTCTTTTCATGGAAGAAAAATTATTCACAAAAGATCAAGATGCCAAAAAGTAATATATTCATTAAAATAATTTGTATTAGTATTTACTAGACATAAAATGGTCATGAAAATTAATATTCCATAATCTTCCCAGACAAATTCACTATAAGTAAGTAGTTTAGAGCTATAATCACACTTCACAATCAGTTACAATTCTTGCACTTTTCAATCAAATTTATAGTAATTTCCCATTTTATCACAAATGCTGAACAAGTGTCACTATTGAGAACTAAATAAAGATTTCAGTAAATTGTTTCTTATTTGCATTATAAAACTGTATAAGGCATTTGCATTATTGTCTGTTTTTTATTTTCATCGATAATGATTTGGGAAAAACCTTGTGCTGAGTTTTTTGGTACAATGCAGGCCTTTAAAGTAGGTCTCTCAGCTGAAGAGAGTGATGTTTTGTTTGTCCCTTGGCTTTCTATGGACAATTTCTCTAAGATGCTTGTATAAGAGATAAATATAAAGATGCTGGTTTTCTTTCTTTTTCTTTTTTTTCCTTCTGTAAATTACTGTTTTATTTAGTATTAAAAAGGTTCAGAAAAGAAGTGAAAATGGTTTTGTAAAATAAGCCCTCAAGAAGCAAGCAATTACAGTTATTTTTACATGGGCTAATCAGTATCCTTTTAAATGTGTAATCAAGTGGCATCTATAATTATTTGAGTCACTTGGCTCATACATACAATTGAATCTACCGAATGTATTTGCTTCCTTTCCTTTTCTACTCCTTCAGAGTTTATAACTAAGAGTTGATTTTTATTTTTCCCACTATAAAGCTTAGTTTTGGAGGAATTCCAGTACCAGGAAAACCTGGGACCTTTTTAAAGAAAAACTTCCACGGATGTATTGAAAACCTTTACTACAACGGAGTAAACATAATTGACCTGGCTAAAAGAAGAAAGCATCAGATCTATACTGTGGTAAGTTTTCTCATTTATTTTTATTTTTATTTCTTGATGTTTTCTATCACTTTGGGGTAAGTCTTGCTTTCACTATCACACTCCTGTACTTCTTCATAGAGTGCCTGTGTTTATCTTGTATTTTTAAGAGGTCCCATCAGCCTCAGTCATTACTGGAGAGCAAGACTCCCAGCCGGGACTGAGTACGAATTGTGTTTCTGGAGTAAAATGTGTATCAAAGATATWTAGAGAACTCTATTTTTCTGGTTGTGGTTGCTTTCAGCTGTGGGTGAGATTTGCATTCTATAAGGGCTAACATGGATTTTTTTTTTTTAATCTCTGGTCAACCAAAGCAAAGAATATTCCATTAAATTCAAGAGCTTGGGAGTTACATAGTTGTCTAGGAATTTGTTGAACTCCAAAAGAAGGCCTTTTAAACAAATGAAATTACATTTTTTTTTTTTTTTGTATTTTAGAGATGTCCTTTGTTACATGTATAATCCTGATAAGTTAAATAGTTAACATTTGTTTTTCCTAATAAGGCATGAGTTTCATTAGGGTCAGGTATATGTCTTCTTTTATCACTAATGGATTTTTAATATATAGCAGAGTGCCTTGCATGTAGTAGGTACTCAATAAAGGTGTTGATGTTTCCAGCTATAGTTAAGGATTTTTCCGTTTATACATGCTTCCAGTGTTTTCAGTTTTTCCATGGCATATTTTATAGCTCTGTTTAGTACTGCTATTTGTTCCTAGCAGATTAGCCCTTTAATCATTGTATAATGATATGCTCTTGCTCTGATGACTTTTTTTGGCTCTGAAGTCTACTTTATCTGAGGTTAATGTTGCCATTTATATATTTTCCAATTAACTTTGCATGATATTTCCTTTCTCATCTTTTTATTTTTAACTTAGCTATATTGTGGTACTTGAACTGAGTTTCTTATTGACAGCAAATATTTTGTTCATTTTTTTAAATTCATTTTTCCAGTTATGTTTAATAGGTATCTTTAGACCATTTACATTTAGTGTAATTAATGTGTTAGGGTTGCAATGTCCATTTATTTTTTTATGTTCTGTTATCTTCTTTTTCATGCTCCTCTTCTTTTTTCTGTGTTCCTTGAATGATTTTTAAGAATTTCATTTTGATTTATTTAGTGGTCATATCTCTATGTACAGGTTTTGTTAGTGGTTTCTTAGTTACTATATTACATATATGCAAAATTTGATAACTTACTGGTTTCATTTTACCAATTTAGATGAAATATAAGACTTCTCTCCTTTTAAATTTTGTTACCTTTCATGATTTTTATGTAATTGTCTTCATATTTCCTCTATACTTTGAACTGTATCACACAGTTTTATTTTTGTTTCAATTATCAAAGTTTGAAAACACAAGAGAAAAAGGAGAGCTTCTTGAGTTCAGCCATATTTTTGCTTACTATTGTTCTCTCTCTTTTTTTTGTAGCCTGATTTTCTTTCTTTTGTCATTTTCTTTTGATTGAAATACTTTCTTTTAGCCATTCTTTTTGAGTGTATATGAAAGTGACAAATTATCTTATTTTTCTTCATCTGATAATGATTTTCTCCCTCCTTCCACCTTTGAATGATATTTTCTTTAGATGTAAGATTGTAGGTTGACAGTTCTTTTTATTCAGCACTTGGAAAATGCTGAATCATTTACCTCTGGCCTCAGTGATGAATTTAGTTTCATTTCTCCAATAGGTAACATGTCATTTCTCTGTTGGTGATTTCAAAAATTTCTGTCTTTAGTTTTTGAAAGTTTGAATGTGATATGTCATGTTGTAGACTTCTTTGGGCTGACCTTGTTTGATTATTGCTCAATGTCTTGAATGAATGAATAGACTATGAATGAATAGGGCTAATCTTTACACATTTACATGTGAATAATTTGGGGAGTTTTGTGGGGTTTTTGCCATTATTTATTCAAGTGCTTTTATACCTGTCTCTTTCTTATCTTCTTGAACTCTGACAACATTAATACTAGATCTTTTGTTATAATCCCTCAAATCTTATTTCTTAGTCTTATTTTGTGCTTTGTTCAAATCATGTCATTTCTGTTGTTTTAGGTAGAAGTTTAATATTCTTTTTCTTTTTTCTTTCATTCTGTTATTGAACCTATTTATTATCTTTTAGGTTTGATAATGAATTTTCATTTCTAAAATTTTCATATCATTCTTCTTATCATTTGATATTTTGATTTCCTTGCTAAGACTTTTGATTTGTTACTAAGATTTTCTRTTTTTTTAACTCATCTCAAATGGGTAATTGGCATTGAGACATTTTTATTATAATGGCTGCTCTAAAAATGTTTGTCAGATAATTCTAACATTAATTAAATGTCATCCAAGAGGCATTTATCGATTATCTTTTTTCGTTTAGCTTGAGTTCTTTTTTGGTATAACAAAATATCGTTGTTGTGTTTTTAAGTGAACCTGCATATTTTAAGTATTATGCTGTGGTAAATCTTCTTTAAATTTTCTGTTTATCTGTCTTTTGCTCACCCTGTCCACGCAGGGGAAGGAGAGGTTTGGCCTTAATAATACTGGTTTGAAATAGAAATCCAATTCCTAACTGAGCCTCCATTGACATCTGAGGATGGAAAAGGTACTTGTTACTACCAAGTATGTGAGAGTTACTGCTTCCTACAAAAGTTTCATTGATTCTTCTCTGAGTATAGTAGCCTGCATAGTAATGCCTCATGATCATCCTCTGTGTGACCTCCAGTGACATTACTATCAGAAGAAAGGGTCCTCACTTGCTATATCATTGGACTGTGGTGAAGTCCACCAAGGCATCCTGACCCCATCTTTGTGAAGTGGATGGCCTCCCTCATTAGTGCTGAGTAGTGTTGAAGTCCAGGATCCCCATGTAGTCTCCACTGACACCACAGTGAAACCCTTGATCTTTTCTGACAAAGATAGACTTCTTAAATCCCTAGGATTTTTCTTCTAGATTCTAGACATTCTCAGATTCATTTCCATAATGCCACCTTGGTTAGGGTCAGAGACATTTTGTTACAGCATAGCTAGATAGCTTTGCAGCAGGAGTTTTCTCTATGTCATTTATCTTGGGTTGAAGAGTTATTTTAGTTATTTTCTAAAAATATTCTTTTTTATTTTGTTGCCTATTTCCTCATCCTTTGGCTGAAGAGGGCAGGCTCGGTATTGCTATTTTTAAAAAATTTGTTTATACCAGTTTGTCTGCTGGGGTTGTTGTTAGTTCTTCAGCAATGGGGCTAAGACACTAGGAAAATACAAGGAACTCTCCACCCTGTTGTGCTTTAGACCTTGAAGTTATTATATATGCTTTCTGTCCTCTCTTCATCAGTCAGCATCTTCTTAGGTTTCTTTTACACATAATTTTCAGTGTGGTTTAGTTATGTTCAGTAGCAGGACGAATATGGAGAATTATGCTGCTTCATAATCTCTGAATTGCAAGCTCTTTACAACTTTTTTTTTTTTAATCCATACAAGAGTAAGTCATTGTATCACTGATAGGAAAAAACCCTAACCCTCCGGCTGGAGTTGTAGCTCAGTGGTAGAGCACTAGCATGTGTGAGGCACTGGGTTGGATCCTCAGCACAACATAAAAATAAATAAATAAAAGAAAGGCATTGTGTCCATCTATAATTAAAAATATATTAAAAAACAAAGAACCAAAAAAAAAAAAATCCCTAACTGCCTGAAGTCTGTCAATTGAACTATCTGGGGAAACTATATATGCAAATGAGCCTGTTTTACTTTCCCTTGATACATATAATTTACAAAGTGCATTTTATAATTTGGGGTTTTGCCTTGACACATTTTTCCCAATTGCCATTGGATTCCTAGGTGTAAGACACATTTGCTTTAGGAAAACCACACCAAGATTAAAGGTCACTATTGTTTAAAAGTTTGTCACCAAGTTTCTGACTCCTTTTGTTGGGAAAGGTTAAGACACACAATACTAACAAGGGCTCATTCCCTCCATTGGTTCCAGGAGTGACATCAACTGATATTACCTGGCCTACCGGTTCTGGCTCACACAGAAAGGCCCCTGACAATTCTCCCACTTTTCCACATGAGCTTAGGTTATCTCCTAATTTACCTAAGCACCATCTTGCTGATGACATTTTTCTTGAGTCTGGCTCAGAAGATTTAAGCTGTGGAAAATGCATTCATTCCCATCCTTTCCACAATACTATTTTCAAGAATTATTTCATAATATATCAGTTCCTGTATTAAGTGTAGTCTGCTAACACAAGGGCACTTACATTGGGTTCACGCCCTGCCAGAAGTTTAGCTTAGACAAATGTCATAAACATCAAAAAGCAGCTGTACTTGCCATTGTGCTCTGAGTCTGTAGAGCAAATTGCAATACAATAAGCTTAAGAAAACATCACTCACTTCCATTGTTTATAAAAGGTTCTTAAAAATAAGAGAGCCTGAGCCTCAGATATGAGTAACTAAGATCCCTATGGCAACATTCATAAAAGAAATCTCCATACATATTACACTAGAAAATATCTTTAATGACAAGATATTTTGAAGACAGTCACTGAATAAAAATGAGATAATGGAGACAAAACATGAATTTCTGAATATTGGCAGCTTCCATCTTCTTTTTTGAGAGAATCATTACATCATTGTAACCTTAACAAATGTTTTGGTGATGTTTTAACTACCATTGCATTTAGCAAGTTCCCTGAAACTTGGCTAGTGTACTTTATTCTTCAGGGTTTAATTGGCAGTGTCGTTAATATGAGGCTCAGAGAATCCATTTAGCACTAATGCACTTGAAAAAAAAAAAAAAACTCCCAAGAATAGAGTTTTATTGTGTAGGGAGACAACCTTAGTTTTCACCTTCACAATATAAAGGGAAAAACATACACTATTTTTCTTCCAAATTGCTTTCATCACTTTGCTTAAGTGAGAATTCATGTACACACACACACACACACACACACACACACACACACACATGCTTATATACCTGGTCTGTGTCTTTGGAATTCC